GCATGCGTTTAATGTTCCTGTCTCTTATAGCATTAAATATGCCAAAGTTAAATGGGCCACATTTTCTCGTCGCGAAACAACTACATTGTAGATCCCCAAAACAAGTAAAAAACAAGTGAAAGACGCAAGTCTAGACGCTTCTGTAGTTTTATCAGAAAGAGTTAGGTTTATTGTCGGCAGCCCGGTCGTCAGATCGCTTACTCGGAATCTGAGAGAAAGAGCGATTAAGGAACGGACCACTGAGAATCAGATCACCGCTGGAAGAGGTTTTACGATGATTTTACAAACTCATTAATAATCATTAGAGAAAACGAAGAAATTAACTAGCGTGAAGGAGGTTTAGAAATCGGAACTTGATCATCCGACAAAATATTAGTGTGGCGTTGAATTTCTTTAGGGATATCATTATTATTTATTGAACTTGTTCATTTGAGACGCGTGCTATCAACACAAAAGACGGCGTTTTACTGGATATCGATCGATATCAAGAAGCCATAAGAAGTCAGTGTGAAATAAGTCAAGTGTGCTTACTTTCCAGCCACTTTTCTTCAGTTTCTGGAAAGAGTTCTAAAGTGCGACATCATAAAAAATAAATTTGTGAAATTATGGGATTTGCAGGGTATTCTGAAAGAACAACATCCAAGAGGCCTACTTGCCAAAAACTAGCATCTCTGGGCAAATTGTCTCTGAGACATTAGCCCAGTTATGCTCCGATGACCCTTCTAAGACTATCAACACAAAACATAGCGTTTTACTCGATATTAAGAAGCCATAACAAGTCGGTGTAAAATAAGTCAACTGTGCTTCTTTACTTTCAAGCCACTTTTCGTCAGTTTCTGGATATCGGATGATAACAATGAATCTTATGCTTGACATATTAGAACATGAACGTGACATAATATAAAGACCCACGCAGTGCACAGATTCCCATCTTAACCCGGAACAACGAGCACCATAAAACGCAAGTGAAGTTTCTTCTATTATCGCGATGGAGCCTTCTTCCGGTTAGATCTTCCAATGTTTTTATTCATTGTTCCGATCATCAAAACGCAATGTTTAGAGCTGCTGAAAGTTTTTTTTTTTAATATTTATTTATTGACAAAAAAAAATTAATTACAAATACTTGTTCTTTTAACTATGAAAAATGGTATATATATATATATATATATATATAGAAAAAAAGAACTAAATTTGTAAAGGAAAGAAATAAATTAAAAGGAAAAAGACGCAAACCTAATAAGTGAAACAGTACAGCAGTAAAGTTCACATATCTAAATTCACTAGCATTCACGTATCTAAAGAAGTTTTTCTCATGTTTTTTTGGAGCTGCTGAAAGTTACTGACATGAATCGTTGGTAAACGCTCATGTTCTCCACCCCATCTTTCACTGAAGTGGGATCTACGGCGTGCGCAAGAGGAAGAGGATGAGATACGGCCATTATTACCCGAGAGTGCTGCTTTTAAACGTCAAGGGAAACCGTGAAACTGCTGGAGTTTACTTATATGTAAATTTGTATTATTCTAAGGGCTTTAGATTTGTCTTATAGTAAAATATTGAAAACTGTAATTTCAACCAAGAGAGAACATTCTCTCTCTTGTTTTTTAACTTGAATCGAGGCCCCCCAAACGGATTACTAAACAGGGGTGCAGCCAGAATTTTTTCAGAAGTACGTAGAGTTTTGCAAATCTTTTTCGCACTGTTGACTTGATTAAATTTGCGTTTCATATCAGTTGTGGTGAGGTGATCACTCTTGGACGTTGGACCGTGTTCTACATGAAGCTTACCCAAGTCTGACTCTCATCTCTCCATAATGGCGAGATAACAGGGAGGGGTTACCAGCCCCTTCTCCTGAAGCCATAATGTTACGAAGAGGACTGGTGACAAGTCAGTCATTCAAGTCCATCGTATTTTTTCGTGTGCCTAAGTCGGGAGAAAACCCAAACACTTTTGTTTTGAAAACAGTTTGAGAGGCGTTAAGCTATAAGAGCCGGTACTGGCACTTTTGATCAACTCTTGCTTACTCCCCGCTTGTTTAATATTTCTTTGCTTTGTGTCTCTGTTTATAATTTCTGATTTTGTTTATTTTTATCTTTCACAAATTTCAGGTAGGTACGTGTGCTTAGACGTGCAGGTGGCAACGTCCGTAACTCTTCTAGACTGAGTTGGCTTTACGCTAGTCTGCCAACAAGAACAGGCCTCTCTCGCCTCTTTTCGGCTTGGCTCTGGGGCTTCGTAATCGAGCCCTGACATCACAGGCTGAAAATGTACGTCTTATACACGCATATAAACTTTCTTTACGATGAACTAGTTTGAGATTCGCGTAACTTATACTTTTATATTATTTATGCTTTAATACCAGGCTGGTTAAAACTTCGCTGCCAAACGTGAAATCGCGTAAAAGCATATTCAAACCTTCTATTCAAAACTTAGTTGCTGATTGCATTATCTAGTGCAGCTGCATTTAACAAATCAACGATTGAAAGATAACGTCCTCGGCTGATATGTATTCTTTAAAATTTTGCATTTTTTCACGAAGCTTCACAGCTTTAAGTTTTCAGAAGTCACTCTGTCCGAAGCCTTTTTTTTCAAAGTGCGAACACTGGAAGTCTCTGGTTCACGAACTACACACTGACTACAGTGAAATAATCATTAAAAACTCCAAATTGGAGGACCTGTCTCGCTTTTTCATGAACTAAATAGACCCCCAAGCGGACACGTAAACCAGGGAATGGTCGTTCATACCAACAAGGACACGAGTTTTTAAAAACCCCTCTCACAGAGCGATGTCAGAGATCTCTCCTAGGAATAGTTACCGCGGAACTAGGGACCAAGCTAGAAGAGTTCAACTGTCATATTACCCAGTTCCATTTGAGTTGACATCTCTTTTGTTTCTTCGTCAAATTGAACGGTTGGAATAAAAGGGGGCGCAACAGTTAATTATCTTTTTCCTTTTTAGATCTTCCAATGTTTTGATCATCAAAACAACGCAAAGTTAGAGCCACAGTAACTGTAAGTTACCGACACTTGAAATAAGCTCGCAGTTACAACTCTTCTTGGTCAAATGTATTTTACGTTGGAGACAAAAAAACTATATTTTTTCGCAGGAGTTTTCAGTTTTCTTCGTCGGCTTCACTATCATCTGTACTATGGATTACAAATTTACTATTATCCACTATTTATTTTTGCAGACCTGTGCTAGATGCATTTGAATGGCCGCTTTGCTTGTGAAAAGGGATTCTAAACGGCATAAACCATTAACGGCTTTTTGAGCAGAAGAAAATAAACAAAACTATTATTCCCGCAAACAAACGGCACTGAGTTAAATATAAAGTTTGTTGTTATGGACTGTTTTTTGTCGATTTGAAGCTCCCAGCGGCGGTTTAATTTTTTAGTGACTTCTAAAACCTTGAAGGTTTGACCTCCCTGACTAATCTAATTTACCAGACATGCAACTTCCAAATCCTCATCAGTCAGCCTGGGCGGACGAAATCAATGCATTTACTCTCTTTACTCTGACAAAAGAAAGCCGCTTTTTCAAAGAAAATGTATTGTTTAACAAAAACAGAAGAGCTTATTAACCGTACATGTTTTGCTCTTACAGTAGACCATGTCATGGCGAGAACATTTGTCACTCTAACGTTCAAATCTTGTGCACGAATCCTTGAGGTGAGAGGTTATTTTTAGTTTAGCCGAGGGGATGCATGGGCGCTTATTCGTGAAAACGTTTTCACATCAGTATTATTCAAGGAATAATACAGCATTGTCCTTAAAATTTCCCATCTTTCGGCTAGTTTGTAACGGAGCTTCCTGATTTTTGATTTAGTTACTGTTCATTTCCAGCTTTATTAAAGCCAGTTATGGCGGAAGATTTTATTTGTCAAACTTACTTATTGCAATTCACTGATGAAGATAGAACTGGGGCTATCAAAATGGGATGGGATTTTAATTACCATTAAAATTAAGAACTTTCACGGCTTTGACTTTCCTTTAAGAACCATTGTTCATTTGAGAAGTAATATTTAATTCCTGTCACCGTGTTCCATCCGATATCCATCCGAAATTCCAGTAATTTTTCAACCCTCTTCTCGATACTGTGTTTGGACACGGGTTGTAAATACTGCGTTTTATGTTCGATTAAATATGCCAAGTTATATGATCCAAGTTTTCTCATCCTTATCATGAAACAACTAGATCCCCATAACCAGCCATAACGTGTGTAAGACAAGCGAAGAACTGAAGTCGAGACGCTTCTGAAGTTACACGGAAGAATAGGTTGATTCTCAGGCCAGTCGTCAGGTCGGTAGCCTGCGTAGCTGGCGCTATTGTGTAGTAGTCGAGTGAGATTTCACGGCGGAGCCGTTCACGAGCGGCGAAGCCGAGAGAAATTCAACCGCCTCGTCCCTACTCCCTTTTTCTGGAACACGGCTCCGCCGCCAAAACTTTAATCTCGCACCCACGCAATACCGCCAGCTACGTAGGCTATCAGGTCGCTTACTCAGACCCTCCGAGAAAAAGCGATTAAGGAACGGTCCAGTGAAAATCAGGCCACCACTGAAAGAGGTTTTACGATGATTTTCCAAACTCATTAATACACATCATAGAAAACAAAGAAATTAACTTGCGTGAAGGAGTTTTAGAAATAGCTTAGAAATCGGAACTTGATTATCCGACAAAATATTAGTGTGTTTTGAATTTCTTTAAGGATATCATCAGCCCCACTTGTTCATCTGAGATGCGTGTTATCAACGCAAAACACAGCGTTTTACTCGATATCAAGAAGCCATAACAAGTCGGTGTAAAATAAGTCAACTGTGCTTCTTTACTTTCAAGCCACTTTTCGTCAGTTTCTGGATATCGGATGATAACAATGAGTCTTATGCTTGACATATTAGAACATAAACGCGACATAATATAAAGACCCACGCGGTGCACAGATTCCCATATTAACCCGGAACAACGAGCACCATAAAACGCAAGTGAAGTTTCTTATATTATCGCGATGAAGGTCATGATGATTGTCGCTTTCGTCTATGCACTTGGTATTATGATGCTGTTAGCTGATGGAGCTCCTGAACATAATGAGACCGAGGCGGATTTGGAGACGGCTTTCCTTGACGAGCCAAGTTCAATCCCAGATTCTTTGGAACCTTGTCGAGGGAAGAGAGAACAGGACGAAAGTTGCACAGGTTTGCTCCTGGAGAAATTGTTAGATCACTAGATTTTAATGAAAATGTTTTAAACAAGATCTCTACTAAAGCAATCTTGATCAGTATTAGATTTCACTCCTAATAACCGTAGGCAGTTAGATAGAGAGGCCCAAGATGGAGGTGGCGAGTGGTAGGTAACTAGTTTAAGAATTTTTAATTTGAGTTTTAAATAACAGACTTCGGAGTTCTTTCTTGTGAGTGCTACAAAAGTTACAAGCTGGCTTGAAATGATCTGAAACAGTGTTATCAAAAACTAAGACATTAATATGAATAAAAAACACAAACACACCGCCAAACCGTTAGAAGAAAAAGGGGGAAAGGGAAACAAAAGGATCTTAACATATACAACCCTTTACCGGTTAAACTTCCCAGATGTAAGTCTTTAAAAGTTCAACGGAAATTATTAAAAAATATGTAAGACACTCAGATATGATAGAATGCGCTCACCACCTAGACCGTTCACAGTCCTCTATTCTTCCGTAAGATCGTCGAGATCGAGCGCTTTGCGTTACGGGCTGCAATCTTGCATGAGTGTCAAAATTACTTAGGGGGCGGGTGCGGTTTGGGAGGAAGCGAGAAAAACAGAGGTTAGCCATTAACGGTAAGAAGCGCTATATATCTCGACGATCTCACGAAAAACTAGGAGACTGTAAACAGTCTACTCACCACCCCTTTTCTTCAAAGCCCATTATTAAAGGATTTAAAAGGATAACTGCGAAAATAAAAATAAAGCCGAAAACTTCAACCATTCTTCAGTGCCTTTATTTTATAATCATGTCCGTATTTGGTTGCTGGAAAAAAATTTGCCATCAAAAATTGCGAAAAATCCTACCTACACTGTGTAATGATAGAGGGCAGACAGAGGTCAAACCGAAAGATAGCCCCACATCGAATTATAATAGAAGATTTAATCTAAAAGTAAATACATGATGTACTGCTTTGTTGGACAAAAATAATCTAAGCCAGTAAGCAGAATGCCTGTAACTCTGACAGAAATCTTTAATTGTTTTTTCAGGTTGGCGCAAGGCTAATTCCGTTCCTGTGTGTTTTGGCGCCAGACATAACGTGTTTGGAAGGTTCCACCTACCATCCAGTGGCAAATTAGCCGCCATAAAGCTGGTTCATCTGTACGGTTACGTGTCCTGTCTGTCGTCTAACCCGAGTCATTGGTCATACTGGGGCTGCGGTCACCTTCACGCAACCAAAAATCACATAAACGTAGTCATAACGAATGCACATAACCACATTATTCTCCCGCCAAACCAGTTATTAGCACGTGGGGGGCTTGCAGCGGGAAAATGGTACAATGATGTCGGTTACAGTTCACTGTCCCCAGAGCTTGTCTTGTCAGTTTTCTCCCATCCCCCCCACGTCTCTTCAGGTCAAGAGTTTCGTGTGTGGTACGGCGAAGATTTGGTGAATTGGACCGAAGCCGATAATGACGGAACAGTGTGCAGTGATGTCTACGCTCTTTTTGTTTGAAAACTTTTTCTTCCTGTTTGCAGGGTCTTGAAAGAGGCATATAAAGCAAAAGTGTATAAGGGAAGAATAAATATGTATGCATAAGAGGCTGGGAAAGTTGTATTTTGTTCATCTCTTATCTATAGAGGATTTTTCATAATTCCTCGTGAAGCGAGACCGAAGGCTTCCCGAAGCCGTCGGCTTATAAATTTGTTGCGCTCACAGTAGTCTCCCCCGCAGCCGTTTTGAGAGAGCGTTGCGAGACGAGACAAAACCGGCTGCGAGGGACACTCGCAGCGAACCGGCATCCCCGTATTGACCCAAGACGTGTACAGAAGGCAACAAAGCCTACAACCGAGTTGCAAATCCCTGAAAAACACAACCCGACTTGACAACGTCTCGTAAACAACTTAACTTTCCATAAGTGATCACCTAGTATCCAAATCACCAAAACTTTCCCAGTGAAATCACTACAGCTGGACACTCTAGTAAACGACCAGTGCATCTTGTATACGACCGCGACCACTTTTTTGGATAACGTCTTTAGAACTTTGCATTGTTTTTATGCTGTTGTAAGCGACCACTTAAGGCATGGTTTGATGTGCGTGCAACACTTCTAAGAATATGCGATGCACCTTTAGTGGGGACATGGAGCTACGCATATTGCCGGTAACTCCCAAGAGCATGTGGAGGTGTTTTATGTTCTTCGAGCCTCTTCTAGGAATGGATCCCCTCTTGGTCGACCCTAGTAAGTGACCACCTTCCGCTAGCAACCATTGAATCTTCGCATTTTGGGTGGTCGCTTACGGGAGGTTTGATTGTTTAGTTTTCGCTTTCGTTCAATCACTCGGTGTCCAAAGTTTTATACGGGGATGCTCCGCCCAGAGGTCTAACAGCTTACGTTTTACATACCATTCATGACAGAAAAGGTTCCCCTTTCGTATTACCTTTGCATCCATTTTAACAAGTGTAAATCCCAGGTAAATCCACTGTCTTTAAACTAGAGAGAATAATCTCTCAGTTTTAAATTGTGAAAATAAACCATAAACCCGAACGCTTTCTCGACTTTTTCACAGCCAGAAAATGTATCTGTTACCCTCTTTTGGCCAAGTGAAATCCTTAACCTTTCATATACCTGAAGCCTGAAAATAGTACCCCTCGCGGGGCCTCTCCGTATGGGCCATTATAGGGAGTATGCCCCCGGGCTCGGAGCTCTTATAATGAGGGGTGATAAAAATCCAGGAAATAATATGGGAAAAGCAGCGTTGGGTCACAGTTTTGCTGAGTAAACAAAGATGAAATCCTTTCGGCTATCAGGGTCGCTTCGTCCTTTCCCGACACGGTGGAAAGTTTCACTGGTTTGATAAGTTCTATTCACTTGATCTTAACCTAGCTCAATCCGTCAATGAACGCCTGGAAAAAAAATAGATAAAATTTCAGTCTTTTAAAGAGCGAGAAACGATTAAGAGGTCAAAATTTTGTCACTAAGTTAGGGTTAGAAAATGGTAACCTGCGCCACCTGATTACTTTCTTTGAGATTTGCAATTTTAAAATCATTTTACCTTGATTTTGTATCCGTGTTTAACTGTTAATTTCGCCCCTTTTACTTCTCATCGCTTCTCTTCGGTTCGCCTTGCTTCTATTTACTAATTGTATAAAGTCTAGAAATAAAGTCGTTTGTTCGAATTTAAAGCGCGTAAAGGCTGCGACTACAAGTTACAAGACGCGCAAGCCCCTGCCTACCAGTCATTTAATCATTTAAACGCTTTTCGTAATAAATATCGGATGCACAAGCGAAGATCTTCCCACTGATCCTTCCCAACTGGCCACTTGGCCTCGACAAAATTCTTCAGCAGTTGCTAAGGTAGACAACGGTGGTTCATGCATGTTACTTGAGTGTCCTGCTAACTAGGACACGCGTTTTATAACCCCCTCTCACAGAGCGAATTCAGAGCCATCTCTCCAAGGGATAATTACGGCGGAACTAGGGACCAAGCTAGAAGAGTTCAGCTGTCAAATTATCCGAGTTCCATTTGAGTTGACATCTCATTTCTTTCTTCGGCAATTTGAACGATTGAGATGAAGGGGGTAAGGTACAGTTAAATGCCTTTTTCCCTTTAGATCTTCCAATGTTTTTATTCATTATCCCGATCATCAAAACACCAAGTTTAGAGCTGCTGAAAGTTACTGACATGAATCGTTGGTAAACGCTCATGGTCTCCACCCTTCTTGGCCAAATCGGTTAGAGATAAAAGAACTGTCTTTCTCTGCAGGAGTTTTTAGTTTTCTTAGCCGGCTTCATTATCCGTCTGTATCATTCATTACAAACTTACCATAAATTATCCACTAAATTTGTTGCAGACCTGTGCTAGCTGCATTATGGCCGCTTTGCTTGTGAAAAAAAAAGATTCTAAACGATATTAACGACTTTTTGAACAGGAGAAAATACAACAGTGTAAACTTATACACTATGTTAAATATAAAGTTTGTTGTTATGCACTTTTCTTGTCAATTTGAAGTCCCAGAGGCGGTTTTTAACTGACCGTCAAAAACTTGAAGTTTGACCTCCCTGACTTACCTACTTTACAAGACAGAGAACTTCCAGATTCTCAAATTACCTAGCCTGCGTAGCTGGCGGTATTGTGTGTGTGCGAGATTAAAGTTTTGGCGGCGGAGCCGTGTTCCAAAAAAAGGGAGTAGGGACGAGGCGGTTGAAATACTGCCTGCGGTATTTGTCGCGGCTTCGCCGCTGGTGACGGCTCCGCCGTCAAATCTCACTCGACTACTACACAATACCGCCTGCTACGCAGGCTACAAATTACCAGTCAGCTTGGATTTTCGACGAAAACAAAGCATTTATCTTATCCTCTTGATTCTGACAAAAGAAACTCGCTTTTGCAAGAAAATTGCTTGTTTAACCAAAAGTACACGAAGGCAGAAGCGCCAATATTCACAGGAGGGCGGCACTCAGTAGAAGACGAAGAATGCGCTTAGCTTATTGACCCTACATGTTTTACTCTCAGACCACTAACCCCTGGGGTGACAGGTTATTTCTAGTTCTAGTCGAGGGGATCCATATGGACGCTTATTCGTGAGCTGCTGCTCATCATTTAACGACTGATACAAGCAGCATTGTCTTTAAAATTTCCATTTTTCGGCTAGTATGCTAAGAAGCTTTGTGACATTAGATTTAGTTCATTTCAGTCCAGCTATATGCCAGTCCGAGAGGAAGATTTTGATTTCTCAAGCTCGGTCATATTTGCAAGTCACTGATGAAGATAGAACGGGAGATATCAAAATGGGATGAGATTTTATTAAATTACCATAAAAATTGTGAACTTTTGCTTTGAATAATCTTTTAATTAAGGACCTTTAAGATCTATTGTTCATTTGAAGTTATTTGAGAAGTAATGGCAAATTGTCGTCACCTTGTTCTATCGATATCCATCCGAAGTACCTCACTTTTTAAATTCAATCCTCTTCTCCGGGTACGGTGTCTGGACAAGGGTTGAAAATATAACTGCATGCGTTTAATGTTCCTGTCTCTTATAGCATTAAATATGCCAAAGTTAAATGGGCCACATTTTCTCGTCGCGAAACAACTACATTGTAGATCCCCAAAACAAGTAAAAAACAAGTGAAAGACGCAAGTCTAGACGCTTCTGTAGTTTTATCAGAAAGAGTTAGGTTTATTGTCGGCAGCCCGGTCGTCAGATCGCTTACTCGGAATCTGAGAGAAAGAGCGATTAAGGAACGGACCACTGAGAATCAGATCACCGCTGGAAGAGGTTTTACGATGATTTTACAAACTCATTAATAATCGTTAGAGAAAACGAAGAAATTAACTAGAGTGAAGGAAGTTTAGAAATCGGAACTTGATCATCCGACAAAATATTAGTGTGGCCTTGAATTTCTTTAGGGATATCATTATTATTTGTTTAACTTATACATCTGAGACGCGTGCTATCAACATAAAACACGGCGTTTTACTGGATACAGCTGTATCGATCGATATCAAGAAGCCATAAGAAGTCAGTGTGAAATAAGTCAAGTGTGCTTCTTTACTTTCCAGCCACTTTTCTTCAGTTTCTGGAAAGAGTTCTAAAGTGCGACATCATAAAAAATAAATTTGTGAAACTATGGGATTTGCAGGGTATTCTGAAAGAACAACATCCAAGAGGCCTACTTGCCAAAAACTAGCATCTCGGGGCAAATTGTCTCGGAGACGTTAGCCCAGTTATGCTCCGATGACTCCATACAAATCCTTCAAAGACGATCAACACAAAACATAGCGTTTTACTCGATATTAAGAAGCCATAACAAGTCGGTGTAAAATAAGTCAACTGTGCTTCTTTACTTTCAAGCCACTTTTCGTCAGTTTCTGGATATCGGATGATAACAATGAATCTTATGCTTGACATATTAGAACATGAACGCGACATAATATAAAGACCCACGCAGTGCACAGATTCCCATCTTAACCCGGAACAACGAGCACCATAAAACACAAGTGAAGTTTCTTCTATTATCGCGATGGAGCCTTCTTCCGGTTAGATCTTCCAATGTTTTTATTCATTGTTCCGATCATCAAAACGCAATGTTTAGAGCTGCTGAAAGTTTTTTTTTTTAATATTTATTTATTGACAAAAAAAAATTAATTACAAATACTTGTTCTTTTAACTATGAAAAATAGTATATATATATATATATATATATATATATATAGAAAAAAAGAACTAAATTTGTAAAGGAAAGAACTAAATTAAAAGGAAAAAGACGCAAACCTAATAAGTGAAACAGTACAGCAGTAAAGTTCACATATCTAAATTCACTAGCATTCACGTATCTAAAGAAGTTTTTCTCATGTTTTTTTGGAGCTGCTGAAAGTTACTGACATGAATCGTTGGTAAACGCTCATGGTCTCCACCCCACCTTTCACTGAAGTGGGATCTACGGCGTGCGCAAGAGGAAGAGGATGAGATACGGCCATTATTACCCGAGAGTGCTGCTTTTAAACGTCA